CAGCAGAAACCCGACCGAGCCAGGAGGTTTAGGGCCGAGGGGGTTAGGGTTCAGGGCTTAGGGATTTAGGGCTTATAGGGTTTAGGGTTTGGGGTTTAGGGTTCAGGGTTTAGGGATTTAGGGCTTGTAGGGTGTAGGGTAATATTTTAACTTGCATCACAACAACCCTGAAAAGCAAGGGGTGTTGCAGGCAATCCTTAGACGTGCAAACGAACCGGTAAAGTTTGGACTCACACTCCTCTGTGCTTAGGTTGGCCTCCTCCCATGAGCCGTCGTTGTGCTCGTAGATGAATATGTATGACTGCTGTAGAGGTGATGTCAATGTAGTGTGCGTGGCCTCCAAAGCACGTCTTGGAGGGCTTCTTGTCTTGCAGTTTTGCTCGTGGCTCGGGTAAGAAACCTACATGCGCAAGTCTCACCGTATCATAAGCAAGAACTGACCGTCGGGGACTCCTATCCCGCAACAAAAGGCTGGTTTTTTTGACTGCCCACCGCCAGCATGTAATTGCCATCCAGGGCGACTCCGACGGGATACTCGATGGGCTCAGAAACCTCATCATCCACTGCTGCGTCATCAAACCAGCAAGTGCATGGACATACAAGCTCCCGGAGCCACAATGTGCATCACTAAACCCTAAACCCTAAACCCTGTCACTGAACATTTAAGCCCAAACTGCCGAACCCTAGTACCCAAGATCCTAAACCCGAAACTGAAGCAATGCTGAAGAGGGAAACGAAGGAAGTGAAGTTGGCTACCGGCCCACTCCAGGAGTTTCCTGCCCACTCGTACCTGCAAAGCTGTTTTGGAATTCCGAATTGCTTGTCTATACGGTCTTGTGGCAAGACAGAGTCTGTCAAGCATCTTCCCTATCGCATATGATGCCATATCAGAATGTAGTGTACTGTCTATTGTAAACCACTCCAGGGTAATGTAGCATATTATGTTCTACAGTATAGGTTACGGCAAAGCATGCTGCTCAGCTTACGGCGGATGCCTGAGCTCCAGTGCCTGGCTGGCTGGCTGGCTGGGTGGGTGTGTGAGTGAGTGTGAGTAAGTTGGTAGTTGTCAAAATTATGGTCCCTTTTGGGGTACCCTAAATAATAGGTGCCGTATTATAATAAGGACCCAAAACGGGACCATGATTTTGACAACCACCCAAGTCACGGGCATGTTTGTTGTTAACGGTCGTGTGTCTGCCTATGGTGTCAAAATTCACTGACTAGCTGCTAGCCAGCTGGGACGCAGGGAAAGAGCGGGAATCGTCTTGAAAGTGTACTGGCACTGGTAAGGCTACACGATGATAGGTCATCATGTGGTGTACAGCTGTATGTAAAAGACTCTAACACAGCGTAGCAGATCATATCATACGTGATTGCGGCATAACATGCTCAGCTTTCGGCGAATGCCTGACAGACATAACAGAAGCATAGGGTTTCATAGGTTTCGGTGCTGAAACTAACGAAGAATAAGGTCTACCCGAAAACGGGGACATTAGCCGCTACCCAGCCGAGATGCAAGGAAAGAACGGGCACGGTCCTGAGCGTAGGGGTGGCGCTGCGTGTGAAAGTGAACAAGATGAGACGCTGCCCATCGACCGCAAGACCTGGGTAAGACACACGCGTCTCGTCCGGAGGACGGAGTCCACACCAACCCATCCCTAAAACAAACACAATGTTTGCCTTTAAGGGACCGAGAAACTTGGTTGTGCCTCGTGCGGTGGACTTCTGAGGTTGGCAGTCGGTACCAGGGACCAGCTAGCCCCCTGCCACTGAAACGTTTGAAAAACATCGTCCGTGGCGGCTTCTGGTCTGAGTACCATCAGATTGCCCCCAAGCCTTAGACATCCACCGTCATTGAAGCAATCGTTGCCTTTAGGGAAAACCTCTAGGTTCACGAAATTCCAGGACGTCCCGTCGTAGGCAAAGCTGTAGACATTCAAAGGAAGATTCCATCGTGCTTGGTAAAAGATCGCGATGTTTGCGGAACTGAGGTCAGCCAGCACCAGCATTTCCGTACTGTTTGCAAGAGCTGTGAGGTTGGCATTCAACCGCCACCCCGAGTTCTCCTCCACACTATACATCAGGACGGAGGCTGGAAGGTTTGGAGCATGGCTCCATCCCATCAAAGCGAAGTTATTCCTCAGCGCCGCGGTTGCTCGATGCCCCCAAGCTGTCGGATAAGCTGCCGGCTCTACCTCTTTTCTTCAACAACCAGGCCCAAAAAAGCT